TGTGAACTATTCCTTTAAGAGATATATCAAACTAGATATATTAAATGGGAATTTTACAAACATTGTCCATTTATTCTTCCTCAAAATTACTTAAATACTGAACCGTTAAGGAACTGGATCTTCGGACATGTAATAATTTAATGTTTGAAATATCCCTTCCATGATTTGAAAAGCAAAGTAATGGCTACGTTTTGGTGTGTCTTTTAAACTGGCCATCTTTGGAGCAAGCAGTTGCGTGCAAACACTGAATCTTTGAGAGTGCTATGAGGAGAGAAGGCCTTTGGTGCTGCGGTGACTCACGGCCAACAGAGCCGTCAGGGAAGTGGAACAGACCCTGAGATAATGACCAGCCAGACTCCATCTCTCTGTCTCTCGCGTCTTAACTCTTTGACAACCTTTATCCAAGTGTCTTCTGCATGAACCGTTCTGACTCCCCCGAGATCACAGGCTTCTGTAAGTATGTGCTAACTACAGTGTTTCCTTACCGCGTTTCTACAGCGCCATGGTAAAAGACGTCTGGTTTTTCCAGAGATGTAAGCTTGCAGTCTGAATTACGATGAGGTATCACATGTATCATTACGTATTTCCATTGTCTTCACTGGCTGCACTCAAAGAATGAACAACATGACTCTTATGAGGTCAAACATACTGTAAATGTTTACAAGATGCGTTAAAAACGCATATTTGTAATGGGAATTTTGCTAACCAACTCATAAAATAAGCCCTTTTCTGGCTTCCCGAACTGCTACTATGAACTTGCTTCTGCTTTTCTGTTTCTACGGTTGTCAAAAGCGTCTGAGAATCATTTCCCCGATCCTATTCTGAGAAAAGGTTTGTTTCTCAATGGCTCCAGACCTGTTGGAACAGGCAGACAGTCTCTCATTGATGGCAGAAAGCATGTCCAAAGGGCATCAGACCCTTATTGCGCACTTCTTCATCCCAGCCCATGCTTCTCTCTGTTTACATGCAGTTGGACATGATTGTATTCGTAGTCCATATACAGTTTCCATTTTGCAGATTTTATTACAGGTAAAATAGATGAATCATTTCTAGATCTGAATTCATTATATTTTAGATATTAGAACAATTCACCAAGGAATACTACTAGCCTTAAATACACTCTACATAGAGTGCACCATACAGTGGGGAAATCAACCACATTAGCTTACAACTTTTATCAGTAATGATATTTGCAGTTAAGTCCGCTGCACAGATTAGTCTCTGGTGTGTGATCAGTGTCTCTTGCAATTAATTAATTAAATTATTAATTTATTATGTTTTTAATGGCTTAAGATTGTTTAAGGAATAATGTACATCGAACCGGAATACCACCTGATGACGAGATTGACCAATCAGAATCAAGTATTGACCCGTGTATAGGGTTGGGTATCGAGAATCGAGTATCGATTGGAACCGGGACTAACTTTTCGTTTTTCCCGGAATCGTTCAAAAGTAAAAATTTCGATTCCTAGTTTCGATATTCACAGTGCGCCGAGCAGAAGAAGAAAACGCTGAACAACACCAACGAAGAAGTGTCTACCGGAAGTGTTGGCATAACCGCGCGAGTCGAACATGAGTAGCTTACGTCGGCGGTCCAAAGTGTGGCTTCACTTTACTAAAAATAACAAAATCTCGGCAAAATGCAAAATTTGTGACAAAAGGAGTATTTCCTTCAGAAAGGCCGTTGGTTAGCAAGTTTAGCTAAACTTTTTTTGACCCTGCCTCTTAAAAGAATCGGAATCGAGAATCGTTAGGAACCGGAATCGAAACCAGGAATCGGAATCAGAATCGTTCAAATTCAAACGATACCCAACCCTACCCGTGTAACAAAAAAAGTTAAGACACTTTTTGCATTTAGATTTACATCTCTTCATTTAGCTGACGCTTTTATCCAAAGCAACTTGCAATTGCTATATATGTCAGAGGTCGCACGCCTCTGGAGCAACTAGGGGTTAAGTGTCTTTGGTGTCTCACACCAAAGGCATGTGTCTTATCCACTGCACCATCACCACCCCTTTTTCTTGATTTTAGCTTGACTTGTTGAATTTATCATCTGTCTGTTCTGGTTACTTCCTGGTTTCCCCTAAAAATGGACGTCACATCTTTGCAAAATCTCTTTACAGGCTCTTGCATGTATGTACCAGCAGCCAAGATTCCCTTTCAGAGCATAATCGCAAGCTGCACATTTAATTGGCTGTGGATTTGACATTTCTCTGAAGCATATGCAAAGATCTGTAGCACATCTTTCACGTCAAAGGGGTCATCATATTCTACGCTATGTTGCATTTTATTGGCCGTACTCCCGCTCAATTTTCATTTTCCTTCAGTACTGCATCTGGGTTTGTGGTGTATTCTTTGGTTTCTCCAGTCCATTTTTTTACCGGTCCAATCAGCGAACAGATGGAGTGGCTTAGAACGATGACGTTGATGTCATGCGCTAGTTTGAGACGTCATATGTCACGACCAAACCTTAGCGATTGGTTGTGGCAGATCCAATAGTTTTAGACTTCAACAGAGATCCCGCCTACAAGGAAGTTAACGCTTGTCAATGGAGCGAGGCCAGACTCTCTGTACAAGAGTCTGGTGGGACCAGGCTAGCATTTTATTAGAGCCAGACCGATATATCGGCAGACCGATATTATCGGCCGATATTAGGCATTTTCCAAACTATCGGTATCGGCAGATATAATGGCCGATAAATGAATATTTCAAAAATAAAATAAAAACGGACGAAACACGCTTGAGTCATGAGTGTTGGAGTTGTATAGTTTGTCCACCAGAGGGCAACTCGTTGAGTTGGTCACAAGACATACATTGCTTGAATAACAATTAAAAGAACATCCCCATCAGTTCTCTTAAGCTGTGTCTGAAATCGCTCCCTATCCACTATATAGTGCACTATATCGGGTGTCGGCCATTTTGTAGTGGTGTCCGAATTCTGAGTGAACGACATCATTCCCTATATTCATTCACTACTTTTACCCACAATCCTCCCTGAATTCGAGTGTACATTCGATGTACACTTGCTGAAGCCCTATTTCCCACAATCCAATGCGGAGAGAACTGAGCGCGCATGAAAGTTCGGCGTGAGCAAGTTTAAACCAGAGATTACATTACATCCAGTGGAGGATTTGAAAAATATCCGTTAATCATCGTTTTGAACATAATAACGGTCGGCGGAGGGCGCTCGACGACACGTCATCTGTGAACGTTAGAGTTAATGTACAATTTCAGTCGATGAAACTACAAAGCTGGCACGGAGGTATAATTACAAAATAAAGTCATTATGATTGTTATTGTTGTTAATATTATTTTATAAAGTAGGTAATGTAAGATAAAAGGAGTTATTAGTACGCGTGACGGAGCCTTTTCTGCGACAGCTCCAACTCTCCGACGCACAGTGTAAACGTCAGCGTCCGAATTCACTCACTTCATCTCGTTCACTCCTTGCAGATATAGTGCACTCAAATGCCATACACTATATAGGGATTAGTGAATGAGTGAACGAGTGAGCGGTTTCAGACACAGCTTTAGTCACAAATTTTGTCATGCTTATTTGAGTTATCATGTCCAGTTTTGCTGCTGATAAATAAGCCGAGAGTGAAGCGGAATCAGCTAGTAATAGTTGCGTTACGTTGTTAGTGTATTTGACTGACTGTCCTTTTAACTTTTGACAATGTGACTGAAGTATTTCTTTAATAGCACGCGACAGTTATAGCAATGAGACACGTCTCTCCTTGGCCTGTTATATTGAAAATGTATGTTTTACAATTTGCAGTATGACGTTATCCATTGCTAAATTATGGCTCATCGTAGACTAGCTAACCGCAAAGCTAGCTAATGCCACTATCATCAGTCTGTTCTGTTGTGACAATAAAAGATTTTTTTTTTAAATGCATTAATAACTACAAATAACTAATGTTAGGGAAATCTGTTAATGTTTTGTTGCGCGTTTCTGAAATAAAAAAATATCGGCCAATATATCGGATTTTAAAACCAAAAAATATTTGTATCGGTATCGGCCTTCAAATCCTTTATCGGTCGGGCTCTACATTTTATACCTTCCCCCCTGAAGTATACTGTAATGTCATTCAAGGTTTCTTGCACCAGAACACTTGTGATTTAGCTTTGCATGACCATTATCCATCTGCTATTGGACTCTTTTTGCTACTGTACCTTTAAGAATTTTCTATGCATAAGACCTTTGCGATTGACTAACCCCTGCATACCTGCAAAGCCCTTTCGGTTTTTCATTACTACTATACTGTATTTTCTACAATTGCGTGGTGTACATATGTTCCTATAATGCAGTATTGTTCACGTGTGCACGTCTGTCAGCAGGCTCGAAAGCAAACAAATACTCTTTCATTGCTCAGTGACCCTTGCTTGCTTGTCATCGGACTGCTCTGAATAAGTCAGCTCACTCTTTAGGGCTCTCCGTATCGTCTGTTGATGACAGAGTGATGAACATGAGTGCGAAAACATTTCCCTCACTACCCATCGAACAAATCGCCTTGCGCCACAAAATGCCTTTTATTTTCACGTTCCACAGGGTCCCTTGTTCCCATGCTGTCTGTCTTGTGAAAACAGGACACATAGTTTCCACTGAGGGATAATGAAAGACGAATCCTGTCTTTAATGGTGGGACTTTCACAAGGCTGCTTCTAGTTTGACCAAATACTGAAGTAAACCCACATAATCTGCGCGGGCTTTAGTGTGTGAGTGCGTGTCCGTAAGTTCGTGCAGCGTGTCAGTGCACTTTCGCCTTCGCCAGAAATAGCTTAATTGTGTTTGAAGAAATCTGCACCGAGGCGTTTGCTTGTTTGCACTGCGGTCACAATGGTGTGTGTATATTTGTTTGGCTCTGTGTCCCCTAAAAGACACGCAACTCAAGGCATGAGAAGGCCATCTGCTTTTCTCTCCTGGTTTCCCGCTAATCTACAGCTTTCGACATACCGATGCACTGACCGAGCTCTTTCTTCTTGTTTTTGCATTCACAGGGTCAGTACCGGCCTTCAGACCTCCTGTGCCCTGAAACGTACGCTTGGGTGTCCATCGAGAGATGCATTTCCCGCCTTGAGATCTCCGCCTACTCTCGTCTCAACGAGAACGCCCAAGCAGGTTAGCCTTCAGTGGGATTATAAAACATCAAATCCATCTCACAAGAAAATGTCAGGTTGTTTTTAAAGTTTTGGTGTTTTAATGGCACATTTTCTCTCCTAATTGTCATTACTGCATCTGGACGCTTTACTTTTGACTTTAATTTGTTTTGACATCATTGAATTATATTCTTTTTTTTTAATTAAATACAGAAATATTTGGGATGGGCAACGATTAATCGCGATTAATCGCGTCCAAAATAAAAGTTTGTGTTTACATGATATACAGTATGTGTGTGTAGTGTGTGTATAATTAATTTGAATATATAAATACCCACACATGCATGTATATATTTAAGAAAAATGTGTTATTAATATATCAAATATTTATATTTATATATAATATTAATTGTGAATAAATATATATAAAATATATACATGCACATATTTCTTAAATATATACATGCATGTGTGGGTATTTATATATACAAATTAATTATACACACTACACAAACATATATTATGTAAACAAATCGTTGCCCATCCCTAATTCAAATACCAAAATATATGGTTCATTTATATTTATTTACAGTACATATTTTTATATATTTATGTTTTACTTTCAATAAGAACTGCCCTTCATTTTTTAAAAATTATTAATATGCCCTGTTTTAAGACTAAATTAATCAGAATATAATTTCATTATTTCTTTTGATTTTGGAATAAAATTTCATACTAAGTTTTACATTTTATATAAAAATAACAATACATTAAAATCATGTAGAAAAATTATATAGTTAAAAAGTAAAAAATAAAAATTATATAATATTAAAATGTTAATTTAAAATAATAAATTAAATCATTTTTATTGTGTTTTTGCTATTTAATTGTAATATTTCAGTAATATATAATTGATTTATAATATAATTTTAATGATATTTATATCCTATTTTAAGTCCGAAATAGGCTTTATTTCTATAAGCAAAATACAATTCTTATTTTTTTCACCCTGACAGGTTTTTGCCACATTTTGAGGTTCACCCACTGTCACCTGTTCTGTTGCACATGTTCAAAACGATCCTGTGGTTGAACCTCTAAACTCTTAAAAGACATTGGCAGTTCTTCCCTTTTCCGGAGCCAATCTGACAAGACCTGACAAAGTTTTAGGTCCAGCCAACCTTTCCCTAACACAGCTGACTGCGCTTATCAAATGCTGTCTGTTTAGTGTCAAAATTGCATCAGGTTATTGGACTCTGGGTCAAATCGAGCGAGCTCTGATGGAGATCCATCACCACAAGTGGGTTCGGGACCCAGTCCATTTGACCACGTCATGACACTTTACAATCAGACTTGCTAATCAGTTTGACAGATCGGTGGAGTCTGTAGGGGCCAACTGTAAAATCAATATGTAACTGCAGTTCCCATGTCTGTAATTGCACAATACATGTCATTTTGTGTCAGCTTAATTACGGTAGCATCCATTCTCTCCTTGGATGCCATTGCTTTGGAGCTCGATTTGTAAACCATCAAGTGTGTTTATAGATTTCAGTTCCGTGAACAAAAGTAGGGCTGCATTGGCCCTGCGTTTTGTGTGTTGAAATAACAGAACTGGATCCAGGCATGGAGAGCATCCAGGATTCTGTTGCGGCAGTCAAGCGGGTCAGTGCTGTGGTCTCAGGGGTTGATGATGATGATAATAATAATAATAATGTCAGTACCGACAAGTAGACGCCATGCTTGGGCCAAAGAGGGAGGGTGAGGCGCTGATGAAGAAAAGAGCTCTTCTTATTCTTCTCTGCTTTTCATTTTTTGTTTCTCTATGCCCAACTTGCATGCACACAGGCTGTAAAATGTTTAAACGCACCTTTTCAGTGTTTATTAGTGCTGTTTTTCTCATTTTAAAATAATAGTTAAGTCTTAACACTATGAAATAACACCTGGAAGTATGTATGTAGGGACCAAAATAATGCAGTCTGTCTCATATTTGAACTGCACATTTATTGGCATTCATCAACCAACTTCATGAACTGCATCATGAACATGTATACTGGACATTTTCCTTCACTGTCCGCTCCAAACACCCATTTGAAATATCGTTTAATACAGAAATTCAAACATAGGAATGATTTGTCTTTGTTCACAAAACTATCAAAAGGTTTTCAAAATCAGTGGTATCACCAATAGTTCATTTAGTTTTTACTGTTTCTTGTGCTTAATTAAATAGTTTTGGTTGTGAAAAGTGGCCGTTACAGTACATACCAGAATGGTCAAGTGATTGGAGAAATTCAGAAGTAAGAGGGATTCGTCACGTCATGCTAAAAACAAGATGTTTTTTTTTTTAGGGCTGTGGAAAGATTAATTGCGATTAATCGCATCCAAAATAAAAGTTTGTGTTTACATATTATTTGTGTGTGCTGTGTATAATTATTTTGTATGTATATGCATGCATATATATATATATATATATATATATATACAGTATATATATATTTAAGAATTATTTGCAAATAAATACTGTGTATATATATATATATTTAATATATAAATAACACAGTTTCTTAAATATATACATGCATGTGTGTGTATTTATATATACAAAATAATTATACACAGCACACACAAATGTATTATGTAAACACAAACTTTTATTTTGGATGCAATTAATCTCAATAATTCTTCGCACAGCCTTAGTTTTTTTTTTTACTTTGAACAAACTGCACATATGAATCGACTCCATAAGACCAGAAATTTGTATTAAGTCAGTAACTAGGTTAAGTAAGATGACGTATATAGTATGTTTAGTTCCTATTCTTCATTCATATGGAATCTTTCCCAACAGAACGTCTTTGTGTAACTGCTTTGTTTGATAAATATTTTGTGTAATTTGATTATTCACCTATCAACATAAACGTAGTTCTTGCAGCACAACTCGTTCCGCAGAACGTCTTTTCCACTACCAGGAAATGTTGTGCGAAACCTGTTTTTGACAAACAGTGTTATTACATTTGAAAGTGTGTCCCACTTGTAGCAGAGAGAACAGATTGCTGATGTGCTTCTATGTAGTGCTTATGTAATTTGAGAGGCGCATTGAGTCTCCGTTGTTTATACGGCCCAGTTAAATCAGGAGGTGCCACTCGAGCCCACAGCAGTGACGCGCAAAGATAGCTTTTCGCTCTTTAAAGAACATGGTTTATAGAGGCGTATCTGTTATTCTGTCAACATTGTGAATTCATATTTAATGTTGGGTGATACAGGCAGATAAAGGAAGGATTGCTTTAGGATACCAGAGACATGTCCACCCCGGACAGACAACGGTGCATTTATTTTTCCCTCTCGTCGTGATCTTTATCCGACCATACCCTCATGTGGGTTTAATGTCAGACGTTCACCCAAAAATGACACTGCTGTCATTATTTACTTACCCTCATATCATTCCAAACCTGTATGCTGTTACAGGGGTTGGACAATGAAACTGAAACACTGGCCAATGTTGGAGGTTTCACATCTATATGCCTGTCGGCCAATCTTCAGAGTGAAGCACGGGTGGATCAGTGATGGTTTGAGCTCCAATATCATGACAATCCTGATTGTATTTGATGGACACGACACTGCCGAGGACTACCAAACCCTTCTGGAGGATCATGAGCACCTGATGCTCAAACCGTGTATCAGCATGATCATGCACCAACACACACAGCAAGACTTGTGACAGAAGGGTTTGATGAAGATGAAAGTGACGTTGAACATCTCCCATGGTCTGACAGTCACCAGATCTGAATATTATTGAGGTGTTTTGGAGGAGCGAGTCCACCAGCATCATATAGTGACCTGGACACTGTTCTGGAAGAGGAACGGCTCATAATCCCTCTGGTCACTGTGAAGGACTTCTATCTGTCAATTGGTGCTGTATTTGGATGCAAAATGAGGCCCTCACCATTCTAACAAATTATTGTGTAGTGAAACCAGGTGTTTCAGTTTTTTTGTCCAACCCCTGTATTTCTACAAAACAAGAGAAAAAATTAAAAAAAAATTTACATATACACTACCGTTCAATTTTGGGGTTAGTAAGATTTTTTTTTTAATGTGAAAGAAATCTCTTATTTTCACCCAGGGCTGCATTTATTTGATCAAATATACAGTAAAAACTGTAATATTGTGAAATATTATTACAATTTAAAGTTTTATTGAAAAAAAAAATGTATACCTGTGGTGACAAAGCTAAATTTTCAGCATCATTTCTACAGTCTTCAGTTTCAAATTTGCTGCTCAGGAAATTTTTATTATTATTATCATCAATGTGGAAATATATGGAAATATTTTTTTAGAGGTTATGATGCAGTTTTTTGAGGATTATTTGAAAGCAAGAGGAAAAAAACATTTTTTTTTTTTACAATTTAAAATATCTGGAATTTTGGATCAATTTAATCCTAAATATTCACATAGGATGCAAAAAAAACAAAAAAAAAAAAAAAACAAAAACGACAACTTTTGAACCCAAAAGTTTTGAATTACTTTTAACACATTGTTCATACTTGTTGCAGCTCTGCAGTCACTGGTCATTATAAGCTATGTTACATGTCAAATGTGAAGAATTATTTAAAAAATAATAATAATAACGGGGTTTGGAGCAACGTGATTTTTCATTTATAGGTGAATTTTTCCCTGTAAGAAACAATAGCAGCACTTTCAGAAATTGATCTCACCCATCGGATCATGGCAGTTAACACACTCTCCTTCATCAGGTTAATTTGTCTTCACATTCAACCCTGTCGGCCCTGTAAACACACTGGGGCAAGTGTAAGTGGGCCTGTACTTCACTTGTGTGTAAATATTTAAGTTATAGTTGAGCGTTTGGATGTTTAAATGGAGTAAGGGTTGAGGTAAAGGTCAAGGAGAGATTACGTTCACGGTCAGCGGATCCTCAGCAATGTGTGGCGTTTGAACTCACCTCTGAAGACGCTGATGAAGAGGGTGTAAAAACTCTATGATCCTCATGGGATTGTCATATAAGTGAGAGATACC